AGCCCTGTGGGATGGAACATTCCGGAATGTGCCAGGGAATGAACGGGCACCGGGCACCGGGTACACCCGCTCCACCACCACCGAGCCCTAACGGGAAAGAACATTCCGGAATGTGCCAGGGAATGAACGGGCACCGGGTACACCCGCTCCACCACCACCGAGCCCTAACGGGAAAGAACATTCCAGAATGTGCCAGGGAATGAACGGGCACCGGGTACACCCGCTCCACCACCACGGAACCCTGTGGGATGGAAAATTCCGGAATGTGCCAGGGAAACGGGCACCGGGTACCGGGTACACCCGCTCCACCATCACGGAACCCTGCGGAGAGAACATTCCGGAATGTGCCAGGGAATGAACGGGCACTGGGGCTATGGGGTCTATGGGTTCCATACCGGGCTATGGGTCCTATAGGATCTATGGGATCCATACGGTTCCATACCGGGCTATGGGGTCTATGGGTCCCATACCGGGTCTATGAGTTCCATACCAGGCTATGGGTTCCATACCGGGCTATGGGGTCCATACCGGGGCTATGGGCCCTATAGGATGTATGGGATCCATACGGTTCCATACCGGGCTATGGGGTCCATACCGGGGCTATGGGCCCTATAGGATGTATGGGATCCATACGGTTCCATACCGGGGCTATGGGTCCCATACCGGGTCTATGGGTCCCATACCGCGGCTATGGGGTCCATACCGGGGCTATGGGGTCCATACCGGGGCTATCGGTTCCATACCGGGTCTATGGGCCCTATAGGATGTATGGGATCCATACGGTTCCATACCGCAGTTACGGGGTCTATATGGCTCCGTACCGGGGCTATGGGGTCTATAGGATCCATACGGTTCAATACCGAGCTATGGGGTCTATAGGGCTCCGTACCGGGGCTACGGGGCCTACAGGATCTATAGGATCCATACAGTTCCATACCGGGGTTTCGGGACCGGCTGGATGCCCGTCCCACCGGCCCCGGTACCGCCCCCCGGTGCCGCCCCTCGCCACTCCCGGTGTCCCCGCCATTACCGGGCCGTGGCTGAGGCTCAGGGCCCGTGCCGGCGCCCCCGGTCCCACCGGGCCGTGGCCCAGGCCCAGGGCCCGGCTCAGCGCTCGTCCCGCCGCTCCCGGTGCCAGCATGGCGGCCCCGCGCCGCGCCTGCGCAGAGCGCGCCTACCGGAGCGCGAGGACCCCGCCGGGGCTGCCCGCGCCGCGCCTGCGCAGGACCGGGCGCGAGGACCCCAGCGGGGGCTGCCCGCGCCGCGCCTGCGCCCGGTGCCCGCCGGGAACGGAGCGCTGCGAAACCTTCAACTTTATTAACTCGCAACCACAACGGAACGGAAAACAAGGCGAGGGAACCGGGATACGGGTCACGGGAACGTTCCCGGTAACGGAAAGGGCACCGGCGGCTCTCGGTGCCGGTGCGGCGAGGCACGAGCGGAGATCCCCGCGGTTCGTCGGTCCGGTCCCCCGGAGGGCTCCGCCGAGGGGGCTGCAGGCGGGGCTGGCACCGGGAGCCGCTCCGGCCCCCGTGGTGGGGTCACCGGGAGCGGCTCCCGGTAGCACCGGGCAGCTTCAGGTCACCGGGGCAGCATCCCCGGGCACGGCGGCACCGGGAACGGCGGCGCCGGGCTCACCGGGCGGGCTGAGGCACGGCGGGGTCCCGGGGCTGGCCCCGGGCTCCGGTGGGCTCGGGGTGGAGGCGCAGCCGAGATTGTCCTGCCCGGAAGAGAGGGTGAGAGCTCCGGGACACCGGCACCGGCAGGGGACACCGGGGGACACCGGGGGACACCGGGGGACACCGGGAGCAGCTCACCGGGGGCTCCTCGGGGGGCCCGGGCACAGCATAGCCCAAACGCACCAGCTCGGCTCCCACGTCCAGGCTCTGCGGGGACAGTGGGGACAATGGGGACACGGTGACACACCTGTCCATGGCCATGGAGACATTTGGGGACATTGGGGACACTTGGGGACACTTGGGGACACACCTGTCCGTGGCCATGGGGATATCTGGTGACATTTGGGGACATTTGGTGACACTTGGTGACATTTGGTGACACTTGGGGACAGGGTGACACACCTGTCCATGGCCATAGGGACACTTGGGGACATTGGGGACACTTGGGGACACTTGGGGACACACCTGTCCGTGGCCATGGGGATATTTGGTGACATTGGTGACACTTGGGGACATTTGGGGACACACCTGTCCGTGGCCATAGGGACACTTGGGGACACTTGGGGACACACCTGTCCGTGGCCATGGGGATATTTGGTGACATTTGGTGACATTGGGGACACTTGGGGACACTTGGGGACAGGGTGACACACCTGTCCATGGCCATAGGGACACTTGGGGACATTGGGGACATTGGGGACACTTGGGGACACACCTGTCCGTGGGCCAGGAGCCGCAGGCGGGGCCCGGCCGGGCCGTAGCTGCAGATCCGCGCCCGCAGCGGCGCCCGGCCAGCGCAGCCGCTCAGGCGGCGGAACTCCTGCAGGGCTGGGGCGGGCCAGCGGGCACCTGCGGGGACACGGGGACACCTGTGACACACTGGGACAGCTGTGTGACACGGGGACAGCTGTGTGACACGGGGACAGCTGTGACACGGGGACACCTGTGACACGGGGACACCTGTGTGACACGTGGGGACACCTGTGTGACACAGGGACAGCTGTGTGACACGGGGACACCTGTGTGACACACGGGGACACCTGTGTGACACGGGGACAGCTGTGACACGGGGACACCTGTGACACGGGGACACCTGTGTGACACACGGGGACACCTGTGTGACACACGGGGACAGCTGTGACACGGGGACACCTGTGACACGGGGACAGCTGTGTGACACGGGGACACCTGTGTGACACGGGGACAGCTGTGACACGGGGACAGCTGTGTGACACGGGGACAGCTGTGTGACACGGGGACACCTGTGACACGTGGGGACACCTGTGTGACACGGGGACAGCTGTGACACGGGGACACCTGTGACACGGGGAAACCTGTGTGACATGGGGACAGCTGTGTGACACGGGGACAGGGACACAGGAACGCCCGCAGGGCTGGGGCCAGCCAGCGGCCACCTGTGGGACATGGGGACACAGGGACAGCTGTGACACATGGGGACAGCTGCGTGACATGGGGACAGGGACATGGGGACAGCTGTGTGACACATGGGGCCAGCTGTGACACAGGACAGGGGTGACACAGGGACAGGGACACAGGGCCAGCTGTGACACAGGGACACCTGTGTGACATGTGACAGGGGAACATGGGGACAGCTGTGTGACACATGGGGCCAGCTGTGACACAGGACAGGGGTGACACAGGGACAGGGACACGGGGCCAGCTGTGACACAGGACAGGGACACGGGGACAGCTGTGACACAGGGACACCTGTGTGACATGTGACAGGGGGACACGGGGCCAGCTGTGACACAGGACAGGGGTGACACAGGGACAGGGACACGGGGCCAGCTGTGACACAGGGCCAGCTGTGACACATGGGACAGCTGCGTGACACAGGACAGGGACACGGGGCCAGCTGTGACACAGGACAGGGATGACACTGGGACACATTGTGGACACCAGCACACCGGACACACAGGGACAGCGGTGACACGGCCCGAGGATGGGCCACGTGCCACCCCAGGGTGTGCCAGCCCCACGTGCCACCCCAGGGTGTGCCAGCCCCACGTGCCACCCAGGTGCCACCCGTGTCCCCGCTCACCGTTGGGGACGATCCCGGCCAGGCTGCACTCGATGGCCTGGAAGGGCAGGCTCAGGAAATCGCTCCTGCAAGGACACGGTCAGGGGGACAGGGGACAGGGACATTCCCTGGGGACAGGGACACTCCCTGGGACATTTCCCGAGGACAGGGACATTTCCAGGGACATTCCCAGGGACATTTCCCAGGGACATTCCCTGGGGACATTTCCTGGGGACATTTCCCAGGGACAGGGACATTTCCCTGGGACATTTCCCAGGGGACAGGGACATTTCCTGGGGACATTTCCCAGGGACAGGGACGTTTCCCAGGGACATTTCCCAGGGACATTTCCTGGGGACATTTCCCAGGGACATTTCCTGAGGATAGGGACATTTCCCAGGGACATTTCTCGGGGACAGGGACATTTCCCAGGGACATTTCCCGGGGACATTTCCCAGGGACAGGGACATTTCCTGGGGACATTTCCCGGGGACAGGGACGTTTCCCAGGGACATTTCCCAGGGACATTTCCCGGGGACATTTCCCAGGGACAGGGACATTTCCCAGGGACATTTCCCGGGGACAGGAACATTTCCCAGGGACATTTCCCAGGGACAGGGACATTTCCTGGGGACAGGGACATTTCCTGGGGACATTTCCTGGGGATATTTCCCAGGGACAGGGACATTTCCCAGGGACATTTCCCGGGGACAGGGACATTCCCAGGGACATTTCCCAGGGGACAGGGACATTCCCAGGGGACAGTGCCACCCGTGCCACACCTGAGGGCCCGCAGCGCCTCGGGGGTGGCCTCGCCGATGTCCCCAAAGTCCAGGTAGGACAGCTCCAGGTGGCCGCTGTCCCTCGGGGCCACCACGCGCGCCCGGCGCCACTCGCCCTCGGCCGGGCACGGAGCGGCCACGATGGCCCCGGGCTGCAGCGACGGGGGTGGCACCTGGGGACACACGGGGACACTCAGGGGACAGGGCTGGGGCACCTGGGGACACACAGGGACACTCAGGGGACAGGGCTGGGGCACCTGGGGACACACGGGGACACTCAGGGGACAGGGCTGGGGCACCTGGGGACACGGCATGGGGGTAAGGGACACGGTGGGGACAGTGCTGGGACAGGAGGGGACACGGGATGGGGGTAAGGGACATGGGGACACAGAGGGGACAGGGCTGGGACACAGAGGGACATGGGGACAGGGGCTAAGGGACATGGTGGGGACGTGGGATGGGGGTAAGGGACGTGGGGACACAGGGACACTCAGGGGACAGGGCTGGGGCACCAGGGGACATGGGATGTGGGTAAGGGACACGGTGGGGACATGGGATGGAGGTAAGGGACACAGTGGGGACATGGGGGGACAGTGGTGGGACACGGTGGGGACACGGGGGGACACAGATGGGACTGAGGGGACACTGAGGGGACATAGGGGACACAGGGGACACTGAAGGGGCATTGAGGGGACACAGAGGACACAGAGGGGACACGGGATACAGACAGGACACAGAGGACGTTGAAGAGACATTGAGGGGACAGTGACGGGACACTGAGGGGACATAGGGGACATTAAGGGAACACAGAGGGGACACGGGGGGACACACGGGGACACGGGGGGACACACGGGGACACTGAGGGGACACGGGACACACGGGGACACAGGGGACACACGGGGACACTGAGGGGACACTGAGGGGACACAGGGGACACACGGGGGACACAGAGACGCACCGGGGGGCTGCTCCGGTAGAAGCGGCCCATCTGGGCCCTCAGCTGGTCCAGCTGCAGGCTGCGGGCGCCCAGCAGCTGCACCCAGAAGCGCCCGGGGCTCTCGGCCGCCGACACGTACACGTCCAGCAGCTCGTCCACTGGGCAGCCGAAATCCGGGCTGGGCACTGCGGGGGGAAAACGCACCCGGATCGGCCTGGGAGCTGCTGGGATCCACCTGGGAACTGCTGGGATCTGTTGGGATCCACCTGGGAGCCGCTGGGGTCTGATGGGATCCACCTGAGATCTGCTGAAATCTACCTGAGATCTGCTGAGATCCACCTGGGATACACTGAGATCTACCTGGGGTCTGCTGGGATCTACCTGGGAGCCACTGGGGTCTGATGGGATCGGCCTGGGAACTGCTGGGATCTGCCTGGGATCTACCTGGGATCTGCTGAAATCTACCTGAGATCTATCTGAGATCTACCTGGTATTTACCTGTGATCTGCTGGGATCTACCTGAGACCTGCTGAAATCTACCTATGATCTGCTGAGATCCACCTGGGATACACTGAGATCTACCTGTGATCTACCTGTGATCTGCTGGGATCTGCTGGGATCCACATGAGATCTGCTGAAATCTACCTGGGACCTGCTGAGATCTACCTGGGATCCACTGAAATCCACCTGAGATCTACCTGGAATCCACTGAAATCCACCAAAATCCACTGAAATCCACCTGAGATCCACTGACATCTACCTGATACCCTTGGAAATCCACCCAAAATCCACTGAAATCCACCAAAATCACTGAAATCCCCCCCAAATCCCACCGGGACAACCACAGCACTTGGGAATCCCAAAATCATTGAAATCCCCCCAAATCCACCTGAAATCCCACCAGGACCACCCCAGCATGGAGGAACCCCAAAATCACTGAAATCCCCCCCAGATCCCACCGGGACAACCACAGCACTTGGAATCCCAAAATCCCCCTCAAACCCTTCCCCAAATCCCTCTGCCCACCCCAGAATTCCCAGGAATTCCCTTCCCAGCGGGATCCACCCCAGCGCCGCTGCTCTCACCCTCGAACTTGGCCACAGGCGGCTCCTCGCTCCCATCCCGGTGCTCCTCGCTCCCATCCTGGTGCTCCTCGCTCCCATCCCGGTGCTCCTCTCTCCCATCCCGGTGCTCGTCACTCCCATCCCGGTGCTCCTCGCTCCCATCCCGGTGCTGCTCGCTCCCATCCCGGTGCTCCTCTCCCGCATCCCGGTGCTCCTCTCTCCCATCCCGGTGCTCCTCGCTCCCATCCCGCCGCTCCTCTCCCTCATCCGCCGCCTCCGTCTGCCCCGTCTCCATCCCGGCGCTGCTCCCCGCCGCTGCCTCCGGTGCCCAGTCATTATCCCAGCACTCCCGCCAGCCGCCGGCGCTCCCGGGAGCACCGGGGGGAGGCTCCGGCGGCGGCTCCCGGCGGCTGCCCAGCGGCTGCTTCCGCGGGCACCGCGCGGCCGCCGCCTGCGCCAGCTCCCGGCGGAGCGCCTTGTCCTCCGCCAGCTTCTCCATGATCAGCTTCTGAGGATGACGATGATGATGATGAGGATGATGAGGAGGGTGCCGGGGTCGCCCCCAGCCCGGCCGCGCTCACCTTGGCCGCCTCCACCTCCCTGCGCGTCCCCAGCAGGCGGATGACTCGCACCGGGGCCAGCCCGGCGTCGGGCTCGTGGCCGCAGTCCACGCGAGCCCCGGAGCTCCGGCAGATGCCCCGCACCGTCTCCCCGCCGCGGCCTGCGGGCGTGGGGGAGCCCCGGGGGGGACCCCGGGGGAGATCAGCGGTGGAGGGGAGAGCGCTGGATCGCGAAGGGAAACGACGCCTGCGGTCTGGGATTGGGGGTTATTCTGGGATTTGGGGTGTCCCTGTGGTTTATGCGAGGTTCCCCACGGGATTTGGGGCTGTGGAAGGTTCCTCCCCAGGTTTTGGGGTCTCTCAGGGGGTATAGAAAGTTCCCCCCCCCCCAGGTTTTGGGGTGTCCTGTACCGATGATCCTGCCCACGGCGCGCTGCGGCACGCGCAGCTCCTTGGCACCCTGGGGTTTGGGGTTCCCATGGGATTTGGGGTGTCCCTGTGGCTATGGAGGGTTCCCCACGGGATTTGGGGTGCCCCACATCAATGATCCTGCCCACAAGCCACTGGGACACGTGCAGCGCCTTGGAACCCCGGGATTTGGGGTTATCCTGGGTTTTGGGGTGTCCCTGTGGTTATGAAGGATTCCCACGGGATTTGGGGCTGTGGAAGGTTCCTCCCCAGGTTTTGGGGTGTCCCAGGGGGTACAGAAGGTCCTCCCGGTTTTCGGGGTGCCCCGTACCGATGATCCTGCCCACGGCGCGCTGCGGCACGCACAGCTGCTCGGTGCCCTGGGGTTTGGGGTTCCCATGGGATTTGGGGTATCCCTGTGGCTATGCAGGGTCCCCCCCAGTCCCCCCGGTTTTTGGGGTGCCCCGTACCGATGATCCTGCCCACGGCGCGCTGCGGCACGCACAGCTGCTCGGTGCCCTGGGATTTGGGGTTCCCATGGGATTTGGGGTGCCCCTGTGGCTATGGAGGATTCCCCCGGGATTTGGGGTGTCCCTGTGGCTATGCAGGGTCCCCCCCGGTCCCCCCGGTTTTCGGGGTGCCCCGTACCGATGATCCTGCCCACGGCGCGCTGCGGCACGCAGAGCTGCTCGGCCACGGGCGCGCTCTCGGCCACGATGCGCAGCACGGCCGCCCTGGCCCGGCACACCTGGCCCGGCGAGCCCGAGATCTGCACCAGGGAGCGGCCCCCGGCCGCCGCCTCCTCCTCCTCCTCCTCCTCCTCCTCCACGGCGATCTGCGCTCCGGTCTCCCGCCTCAGCTGCGGGCACGCGGCATTGCCGGAGCTCCCGGGGCTCCCGGGGCTCCCGGTGCTCCCAGTCCCTCCCAGTGCTCCCAGTGCCCCCCGCATTCCCAGCGCTCCCGGTGCTCCCAGAGCTCCCGGTGCTGCCGGAGCTCCCGGTGCTCTCAGTCCCTCCTGGTGCTTCCAAACGTTCCCGGTGCTCCCAGTCCCTCCCAGTGCCGCCAGCATTCCCAGCGCTCCCGGTGGTCGCGGTGCTCCCAGAGCTCCCGGTGCTCCCAGAGCTCCCGGTGCTCCCAGAGCTCCCGGTGCCCCCAGCATTCCCAGGGCTTCCAGACCTCCCGGTGCTCCCGTTGCCTCCCAGTGCTCCCAGTTCCCCCAATACTCCCGGTTCCCCTCGTACTCCCAGTTCTCCCAGTCCCCCCAGTGCTCCCAGTTCCCCCGGTGCCCCCGGTACTCCCGGTGTCCCCGGTGCCCACCTGGTTGATGGTGGCTCCCCGGCGGCCGATCAGCGCCTTCAGGGCCGTGCGGGGCACCCTGAGCCCAACCTCCAGCCCCTCGTCCGCCACCAGCGTCACCGGCGCCTCTGGGGACACGGGGGGACACCGGGGGACACGGGGGACACGGGGGGACACGGGGGACACGGGGGACACGGGGGGACATGGGGGGACACGGGGGACACGGGGGGGTCACAGAGGGGCTGGCAACCCCCGGACCACAGAGAATTCCCAGCGGGAAAAGCGACTCCAAGGGGTCCCCACTTCCCAAAGTGTCCCCAAGGTGTCCCCAGGTTGTCCCCAAGGTGTCCCCAGAGGGTCACAAAGGGACAGGAAGGGACAGGGACATCCCTGGGGAGCTGACAACGGAATTCCCAATGGGAAAAGCGACTCCAAGGGGTCCCCACACCCCAGGGAGTCCCAAAAATATCTCCAAAATGTCCCCAAGGTGTCCCCAGGGTGTCCCCAAAAGGACAGGAAGGGACAGGGACATCCCTGAGGAGGTGACGAGGGAATTCCCAATGGGAAAAGCGACTCCAAGGGGCCTCCACTTCCTAAGGGGTCCCAAAATGTCCCCAAAATGTCCCCAAAGGGTCCCCAAAGGCACCGGGACCTCCCTGGGGAGCTGCCAAGGGAATTCCCGGTGGCGAAAGCGACTCCCGCGGCCTCCCCGGCCCGCGGCCGCCCCTCGGAGCTCCCGGTGCTCCCGGTGCTCCCGGCCCCGGCGCGGCCCCGCACCCACCTCGGCTCTCCCGGTAGCGCCGGTACAGGATGTAGCACACGGTGGCGGCGGCCGGGACGCCCAGCAGCAGCGCGGTTTTCTGCAGGCTGCTCAGGCCGGGCACGGAGTCGCGTCCCGCCATCGCCGGCTGCGCCTTACCGGGGGTTACCGGGGGTTACCGGGGGTTACCGGGAGGTTACCGGGAGCCCACCGGGAGCCCACCGGGAGCACCGCGATGCGCCCCCGCACGCCGGGGACTCCCCCGCGTCTCCCCCCGGCCGTACCCTCAGGGAGGGCTCCGCTCCGGGCGCGCCGGTGCAGGCCCCGGGCCCGGTGCAGCGGCGGCGGCGCCACCGGTGCCGCGCCCCCCGCGTGGTCTCGCGGTACCTGCAGGCGCCGAGGGCACCCCCCGGCCCCGCAGCGAGCCTGGTTCGGCCCGGCCCGGCCCCGGTGCGGGCCCGGCCCCGGTGCGGGCCCGGCGCGGCCCCGGTGCCGCCGCCGCCTCCCGCGCCCCGCCGCTGGCCCCGCCTCCTCCCGCTCTCCGCCAATCACATCGCGGCTCCTCCCCCCACAGCCAATCACAGCGCAGCGCCGCGGAGCTCGCACCCAATCACCGCCCGCGGAGCGGCGGCCAATCCCCCGCGAGGCCTGCCACGCGCGGGGGCGGGAAATAACGGGAATGAAGCGGCCAATCAGCGGCGAGTAGCGAGGAAGCGAACCAATCAGCGAGCAGGAAAGCGCGAACGCCCGCCTTCCCATTTGAGTGACAGGCACGGCAGCCTATAGGAGCTCGGAGCGCCGCGCGGGGCGGGGCTGTAGTGCCGCCCCCGGTGTCCCCGCGTGTTCCCGGTGGCGGCGCCCACGGACACGCGGTCCCAAACCCGCCTTTGTTCCCTCAAACGGCACCGCCCCGCACCGAGCCCCCGGCTCCGCGTGGGGGCCGTGGGGCGGCCCGCGGGGACCGGGACAGGGGCACCCACGGGGGACACGGCACCCACGGGTGGCGGGTCCCCTCCGGGTGCCGCATTCCCGGCTGGTGCAGGGGCTGTCCGGGGTGTCCCGGGGCTCTCGGTGATCTCGGGGCTCTCGGTGATCCCGGGGGTCCCGGTGATCCCGGTGGTCCCGGGTGTCTCGGGGGTCCCGGTGATCCCGGGGGTCCCAGGGTCTCGGTGATCCCGGGGGTCCCGGGGGGTCTCGGTGATCCCGGGAGTCCTGGGTGTCTCGGGGGTCCCAGGGTCTCGGTGATTCCGGTGGTCCCGGTGATCCCGGGGGTCCCGGTGGTCCCGCGGGGCCATCGGCGGAGAGCTCCCGGTAGAGGACATCGAGGGGACAGGGACCCCGAAGGGACCCCAAAACCACAGAGCGCCCCCGGTTCATACAAAACCCCTTTATTGGGGGGTCAGGGCAGCACCCCAGGGTGGGGAGACACTGAGGGGTCCCAGCAGGAGCCGGGTGGGTGGGGGCACCCATGGGTGGGGGGTCTCAATCCCCCCCGCGGGGGTTCATCACCCCTTTGGGGGTGGGGGGACAGGACCCCAAAACGGGGTCAGGGCGCACATTTAGGGCTGGGACAGGACCCAAGGTGGGTTTGGGGAGCACCCATGGGTGGGTGGGGCACCCATGGGTGGGGGTCTCAGCCACCCAGGTGGACTCAGTACCCCAGGGGGGATCAAGGCACACATTAAAGGTTGGGACGGGACCCAAGGCGGGTTTGGGGGGGCACCCATGGGTGGGCGGGGGGCACCCATGGGTGGGGGTCTCAGCCCCTCAGGAGGGTTCAGGACCCCAAGGGGGGTTCAGGGCACAAATTTAGGGCTGGGACGGGACCCAAGGCGGGTTTGGGGCGACACCCTGGATGGACAGAGGGCACCCATGGGTGGGCGGGGACACCCATGGGTGGGAGTCTCACCCCCCAGGGGGGTCTCAGCCCCTCGGGAGGGTTCAGGACCCCAAGGGGGGGGGTCAGGGCACACATTAAAGGTCAGGACGGGATCCAAGGCAGGTTTGGGGCGGCACCCCTGGGTTTGGGGGGGCACCCATGGGTGGGCGGGGGGCACCCATGGGTGGGGGGCTCAGCGGCGGCCGCGCTGCTTCATGTGCTGCACGAAGTAGTCGTTGCAGGCGATGGTCAGCCCGGCCACCAGCGAGAAGAAGCCCTGGAAGCCGACGCGGCCATCGCGGCTCTGCTCCACGTCCCGCAGGATGCGATCCAGGGCCTGGGGGTCCCGCTGGTTCTGGGGCAAAAAACGGGAAAAAAAGGAAAATTGGGGTCAGATCC